GCCCCTCCCCCAGGCCTGGCTCCAGGGTGGGGCCCCGGTGACCCTAGTCCGGGCGAGGGAAACGGGACTTTTTTAAAATAATGAATAAGAAATCTTTATTTTTAAATGTATTTTATTATATAATGATAATTATATAGTTACTGTCTGTCGTTGTCTAAATGTATTTTTACTGTCTAAATATATGTATTCTGCTAGTGTAAACATGCAGGATGCTATCATATGAAGGCGAGGCTGAGACTGAAGCTGTTACCCTTTGTTTCCGCTGAGAGACATGCCACGTGACTCATTTCGCTGTGCATACATGTTATCTTAGGTCGGCGTTCACGGTTTGACTTCTGAGATTCAGATCAAGTTCTAGGTCATTTTTTTTCAAACTGGTTGGTTCGACTTTTAAGAAATTTGAGTTCTAATGAGTTCGAGAACTGAGGTACCACTGTATTTTATAATATTAATTCTTTAAAGACACATTAGCATTATTACATGAAATGACTTCTTCCATTAGTGTGGAAAGTTACTGCAGTTCCAGGTGGATTTATACAAAGTTTCACTGGTCAAGAATGACCCAAAAACTTATATTGAACAGTACAGTCATCCCCAGAATCTCAGAATTAGAGAGAACAGTTTCTTGAAGAATTTTGTACTTTTGATTTTGAAAGACAGATTTAACACCGAAAACAGGCACCATTCATTAAACACCTGGTTAAGCAGACATTAAGAGAGATGACCGTGGGCTTGCATTATATTGGGAGTCAGAGGACCGGCACCCCCTTTTTATTTTGGTTGGAAAATTTTTAACATTACATGATGATGCTAGTACACACTTAGAGGCTACTGCTGCGAGTGCCATTCTATGCCATCACATATGAGAGTACTCATTGGTATACTAAACTGTTAACAAAATGACATGCTTTTTTCAGAAACCTGAGGATTGACACTTAAGTTTTGTTGTAAAATAGTACTGCCCCCCCTTTCTCAAAACCACTTAGTAATGCTCAAAAGCAAGATACCTGCACCATAACCCTGTAGGCCTATACAACTGTAGACAGAAAGACTAACATGAGCCCCTCAGTGGTCCTCAGCAGGGCTCTGTCAGAGCAGGCCTGCTCCCCACAGGATACTTCACACCACCTGCTCTGGCCTGGAGCACAGAGCACACTGGTTCATCTTGAGGGAATGCATGCGTCATACAGGGATGAAGTCCACTATGAAGTAGCTTCCTAATACCAGCCCCCCCGTCCAAGTGCCCCACTGGGTACACACATGGAAATATAAATTAGAAAATGTCTGACATAATGTTCTGTAGAAGGGGAGAAAGATTATTGCTGTCAATTTCAATTTTTGTCATGAAAGTTAGTTAGGGAGACAAACCTGCCATTTGCTGGATGATATGCCTTGTTGCAACTGTACAATATGCTAACAATTTGTCACTGATTAAACTTATAATGTACTTTATTTCAATCAATCAAGTCTGAAGGTAAACAAAGGCACTGAAGACACCTAAAGTAAAGCATTTAATTAAATGATTTAATTTTTCACACTACCTTATATATTTTTAATTATCATACATTTCAATCATGCACAAAACATAATTGGCCCTTACAAATGACTTGACCCTGATTTGTTTATTCATTCTAAATTATAATGCAATCTGTTTGTATGACCATTTGTTCTATTTCTGACACAAACGCTTTATTTCCCATAAAAAAAGCTGAAGATTACTGCTCATTGTTGCTGCATGGGCCCATCTGTGGCCTAGAAAAAAATTAATAGAACCTATAAGCTCAGGCTGTTGGCCAGCCAAATTGTTTATCTCCCAAAGCTTCAAAAACATTCCTGCTCACATGAAATGATTGGCCAAGTGTTATTTATTTATTATACAATTGTCAAAGCAACCGTGCAGTTATGTCTGGGAGCACACTGAACATGCCCAAGCATTTAATATAATCAGTAATAACATTGCACTGCCACATACAAGCTAATTCCTCCCTGATCCTGTCCATTAAATGCTCCTTTTCATTAATGTCAGGTTTAATTTGGCTGCTATTTCAGTATTAGAATACTAACAGCCCAGAGCAGTAATTTATATGCATTTTTACGTATTCATGCATGAGTTCTCTTGTTGTCATATCTCAATAATAAGGGAAGATCCTTACAGAAATGTTTAGCCATGAATTTCGCTTTCATACCAAATGCGTCATGAACGTCATGAACTTTGTACCTACAGGAGTGCAAGCCTTCAAGCCACACAGCCAACTGGAGATTTTCCACACGCTACTTTGTCTTTGGTTAAATGGCACAGTACCTTTCCTGGTTGCTTGCCACTTTAAAATTCCCTTTACCCAACATGTTTTTTTTGTTCCATATAAATATCAAAGAAATTGTATCTTTCACTGTTTTAGGCTGGGTTTATTTGACATTAAGCTCCTTAGGACTGCATGCTGTACCAATCACTCCATTGCAGACTCTTTTAAAAAAAAAAGTCCTTTTGTGTATTGTTGATACAAGTCTTTTTTTCTCTACTCACTGCAAAGCAAAAGCAGGTATTGGTTTAATCTCTGATGGTGAAATAAATTTCCCAGTCATTATTCAATTTATAATGATGTGCCTAAAACAGCAAATAATTATATTCCCCAATTATGTGTTCCTATGATTTTAGCATTGTGTCCTCTGACTTTTGGTAATAATTGCACTCAATAGGCAATTTATTAGATTCAGTTGCTGTTTGGTTAAACATCAAAAAGCTTGAGTGTAACCTAATTTTCAAGTCTGTGCTAGCACACATGGGCAAGGCGGACTTAGGCAGCAATGTCTCTTAATTTGTAAAGTTTCTTTGATGATAGTTGTAATAATAAGATCTTTCCTTGGTAAAGGTGTTTCAGACCCCAGACTGGCCCTTAACTTTATTACAATTTTAATAATATGAAAAGAATCAATGCAAGCCTCAATACTCTTTAAAAAATTGCACTTAATTAATAAAGGTTTTATGTCAATGCTGATATGTGCTATGAATTCAGTGTACTGGATTAGCAAGAGCAGTAACAAGTACCTGTTTATTGTTTAGTTTACTTTACTTTCACCTTCACTCTTTTCCACCTCTTTCTCCTCCCTCACAGGTGGTGGCTCAGATTGACGAGTTGACATCAGACTTTGACTTTGATCTAGAGCCAGATGACTGGACAGGTGCCACAGTGAGCAGCACCTCCAGCAGTGAGCGAGGGCTGGGTGACACCTTCAGGTTGGACCTCCTCAATCCTGATGTGCTCTCCGACAGCTGGGAGCTCTGCAGCTTCCTGGAGGCTTCCACAGGGCCTACCCTAAAACTGGCAGAGCCACAGCCTGGGCACAAGAAACCGGAGCCAGATGTGGGGGACAACTCCACAGCAGTGCCCACCAACAACAGTGTATACTTGCAGATGAATGGGGGGCTCCCCATCCCTAACGGTCCCCTGAGAATAACGCCAGACTCATCCAGTGAGGAGGCCTCTAGCTCCACTCACAGTCACAAGGCCTCACGGCCCTCGAGACTCAAAGAGCGGGTCCGTTTCAGTGACAAGATCCTGTACCATGCACTGTGCTGCGATGATGACGAGGGCAAGGAAGAGGAGAGGGGAGAGGACGCAATACCGGAAACGGACAGTGAGCCTAGTCCCCCTACTGTCTCCCCCACGCTCACACCTACTATACTCTCACCGTCCGAGCATTCACTTCACCTCAATTGCCTGGACTCGTCCTCTCTCTCCCCACCAGCACTGGCTGGGGGGGTACAGACATTTGTGGTTCCTCCCGCACCAGCGAGAAAGGGCCACATCAACCCGAGCTGCAGAAAAAAACTTTTACGGAACAACAGCACACAAACTGTGTCTGACAAAAGCACCCAAACTGTACTGCCCTATATCCCAAACAAACAGAAAACAATGGAGCTGCACTGAGGAAATCCAGAGCAAGAAAATGGACTGTGTAACATTTAATATTGCATACTTAGGTAACAGATTACTACACCACCAATCAATAACTTGTTAAATAAATAAATGATATAGGAAAACTGCCTGTCTGCTTAACTTTAATTCAAGACTCAGGGAAATTATTAAGAGGGTAATGGTGATACAAAAAAACAAAGTTCCTCATAGTAATTTTAACAGTTAAGCAGAAAGCTGGGCTATATCATATGAGACTCAGAGAACCACTAGCGGGACACACACCAGCGTAAGCCTCAAATATTTAAAAATATAAAAATATATATATATATATATATATATATATATATATAAAAGCACATGAAATGAGATTTGTGTAGTAATATCAGGATTATGGCTCATGAGACTTATACACAGCAAACGAATGCAGTCTTTTTGTCAATGACAGGGGTAAGTAGAACTTGACAGAAATGCATGTTACTCCATAAAGCCATCTCCTTGGTATACTCAATACTGAACACTGACACATGTTCTCAAATTATTATTTTCTGTAAAAAACATATAAGAGGAGACTTGTAACTGGTGGTCATAAAGCCACAATGCAAAATGGATTTGTGTCCTCGGTCTCCCTGCAGGAGTTAAAGGGTGCTGCTTGTATCCTCAGGGACATTGCTACAGTAAGTGTACTGCTGAAGGATGTCGGTGACTTGGGGCAACCTGCCCCCCCTGGGGTTTGAACCCCTGGATAAACCCTTTAGTGGCAAATTCTGTGCATTTTTATGGGCAAAGCAAGCAGGATAAATGGTGTACCTGATGGAGAAATGCTATTATAAAACCATTAGACTATAATAAAGCTAATAATAATATGTAAAAAGTCGTGTTTTTTTAGCGACCGCTTATTCATTGTGTCACAGTCATGTGATTTTTAAATATTTATATTTTGGAAGGAGGAATAAAAATTATACGCAAAATGCAGTGATATAAGATCCCCAAGACATGGTGCTATCTGTGATTTCCAGCTAGAAAGCTCTAAGCCACGCCTGCTGATTCTGCACTGACTCCCCACCGAGGGAAAGTCTCTGACCAGCATTTACAATTCCCAGTATTTGTTCTTTTTTGTCCCTTCTGCAGTCCTAGGTTCAGCTGCAAACTGTCTTTCTGTACTTAACATGCCTCAGTGATAGAAGCCCGGCTGCCAACCTTGATAATCCTGGTTTCTGCCCACTGCTCACTCAGTACACGATTGCTAATGTTCTAAACGTCTGACCCTTCAAGTATTTCCAGCTTGTTTTTCTTTATTACATCGCATGTTCTGCTTCTGCAGCCACATTTAAAGCCCCAGGATGTCATTTAATCAAGAATCGTGTGCCAATTTCCGTCCACAGTGAGGCCACCACCACAAACATAAGGAAAGGAGAAATAAACGTCTTCTTCCACAACAAGCATATTGCCAATAAAATGATGTCACCGCCTTGTGCAGACCCCTAACTCTGCTGTCCGAGCTGGGCACAGTGGGCTTGGCAGTGGTCACAAAGCTTAATAAAATCTGACAGTTGCAGAGTGCAGTGATTGATGGCCACTTTGCAAGTGGTCCAGGATGCTCTCTACTACCACTGCACAAGATGAGGTGCAAGTAGAACTCTCTCGAGTTAACTAAACACAGGCAGCCCACTTTTATGAGGAGTGTTTATGTACAGAAAATATAAAGTTTTATGGCTTATCCCGTCAGCTGCAGATGGGTGCTTCCTCAGGCGTATTCAAGTATACTTCCTGGGCTCATTTCCACAAGCACCAGAGAATCCTATGGATAAATTAAAAGAAAATTGCTGCACTTTTGCAGTCCCAAGCTTGCAACCATCAGATCCACTGTTACCAGAAATAGTTATCAACAGCACCAGAGGATTACAGCCTGTCTCGCTCAATGTAAACTCTTTCCAATAAAGCTTTCCAGATATGTGAAATGCAGCCACTGCCCAGGTGAAACCCTGCCAGTTTCCATGTTTTCTTCTGATTACTGAATTTAATGACAGATTGAGAATGCCAGTCTTCAGAAGCAAAGCATAATAAAACTAGGTAATGATCTGTATAAATATTTAATATTTGATTAAAAATGGTTCCAACCAATGTAGTTGGTATGCCAGAACTTGGCTGTCATTGGCTGAAATTAATTGTGGGAAGGAGTCCAAGGAATAAACGTTTCCCTGCATCGATCAACACAGATGAATTTGTGCTGAAAACCCGAAGCAAACATCCTTTTGTCATTCCTTTATTATTTAGCCCTGAAACTACACTAAGTGGATCAGTTTAAATATACCAAGGTTTCCTTTCTTAAAAAGTACAGCATGCAGTACTGTACTGATGATCCCGAACAGAATATGGTTCTATTGTGTTTGTGTAATGCGTACATGTGTGTGTGTTAATATATATCTTAAAAATATCGTATAGATCAAATGTTCTCATAATGTCATAAAAAAAATGCTATTTTGATCTTGTGGGGTCCATTTTAATGTCAAAAGCTTGCATTTTTTTTGGTTAGATATGGTTAAGGTTAGGGCTGGGTAGGGGTTAAGGTTGTCATTGTTGGGATTAAGGTTTTTCCCATAGAAATTAATGGAGAATCCCCACAAAGATATAGATACCTAATATGTGTGTGTGTGTGTGTGCATGTGTGTGTGTGTGTGAGAGAGCATTGTGCATCCCCATACATGTCAGCATGGGATATATGGTCAAGTTTCTCTGCTCAGTGTAATTAGCTGAGACAATGGTGTGCTTCTGCCCAGCTCTCCCCACCTATACAGTACATGTCTCTAAGCATGAGCTCATGTAATCACTTTGCATTTTCTCATGCATGTATAGATAAGCAGCTTCTCCACTTCCTCACGCAGACGGAGTGAAGAGAGGTAATGGAAAATGGATCTCTGTTCTGGATAGCTGTTTTCTTTGCTGATTGCAAAAGCTCCACAGAAGGAGAGAGCTCGATGTGGCCACACTGATTACTATGGATTGTCCACCAGACTGGGCAACTGGAGGTTGATTTGTGAATCTCTGTGTCATTTATTTCCTTCTTTGACCTGAACAAACACCTGTTTTCCTGCACACTGAACCCTCTTACCTCTCAGTTTTATAAATTTGGTGCCTGGTAGCTTATTCTCACCTATGACCGTAGTAAAAGTGTTGGTTGCGTGACGGATGGTTATTACTTCACTTTTACCTTGCTGAAATTAAACCCACCAGGAGGATACAGCTACAGTAACATTTACTGCATTTTAAGTGCTACCTGACAAAGGCCGTCATCCTACATCTGTTGCCTCAATCCCCATCTGGAATCCTACGTGAAATCCTGTGGTTAGGGGACTGAGAATTGAGTAGGACACCTGGCCAAGGTCAAGGCCTGCATCATTCAGAACCTGAAAAGGCTGTCACAGATGATTAATGAAGCCCAATGAAACAACCACATATTACTTTAGACCTTCAGCAGATGAAGGGCAAAGCCAATTGAGACATCAAGGAATTTGATTTTAAAGCAGTTAGTGAATAAACACATGAATTAACATAATTGATAGAAGTGATTTCCTGACAAAATCTATGCACTGATTCCTAAGTACATATACTCATTATACTGTATTTGTGAATGTAGTGTCCTTTTTTTGAATGCAAAACTATGTGATTTTCCCAAATAAAATAACGGAATCCTATTTTGAATGAGTGAAGTAATGAGTGAGTTTTTTAGAGGCACAATACGCAGAGATGAGGGAAGGTTAGGTTCTGAGCACAGTGATAAACACCTTCAGCTGAAGTTGTGCCATGGATTTGGTTTGGTCTTTTAGTCAGTGGCAACAGTGGTAAGGTCATGGACCTGAGCAAGTGGCAATCTCTGCCTCCACTTGAGACAAAAGACCTAAAAATACTACGGGCCCCGACAACTTCATTAAATTCACCTTAGCCCCATTAATGTTTGATTATTGCGGCAGTTTATTTTGGTCAATATTTCTAGTACAAAAATCAAAACAGGTCAGCAGCCCAACAGTCTCCTGTGTGTTGTATTTTGTAGTTGTCCAGCACAGAAACAGCACTATTAAATCAAGCTAAACTGTGGTTTCCCATTATATAGTTGCTCTGAACTATCATAAAAAAAGGTCTTAATATCTTAAAAAGCCATAACCTTTCTAATCCCAGCCCTAGCTTCAGTTGGCTAACCTAAATCTGGGGACTTTAGAGTGGCAGAACAGGCTGTTGCAAAGTATGTAATATACTTTTAAAAATCAAAATCTATTTCACGTACATGCATATTACACATGTTGAATGCATTTAAAAAATGTCAATTCAATTTCAGTGGCACAGGATTAAACCTCATATAGAAGACACAAAAAATCCTGGAATCAGTCCAATCTAAGTTCTGACAGCAATGAACTTTGAATAGCATAGCATAATTAATTAATGACAAAATGCTATCCTTTATTGTTAGCTTGGTAAGCAGGCGAGCGGGGAAGCAGGTGAGTCAAGCAGGTAATACGGGCAAATGGGGTTTATTGAGACAGAGCAGTGATAGACAAACATCAATGACGGATCTGGGGAATACTGACTCAGACGCGAAATAAATACACGGAACAAGTTGAACATAACAGGCAACAGGTGAATACAATCGGGAATTAACACGAGGTAACGAGGGGGGCGTGGCACACACGAGGATTGGACGAGCCGGGCGTGACATTTATTTATAAACAATGTTTCGTGCCAGGTCAAGGGCACATACTATGGCAAAGTTTGTTGTTGTTGTGTGTGTTTCTTGTTCTGTGTTGTTCTTCCCTAGGTTCCCCCCCCCCCTCAAGCTGATGAGGATTTGACATCACCTCATTAAGAAGTCGGGCTGCAGGTGGGGTGGGGTGGGGTGGGGCTTCCTGTATAATAGTGCTCTGGACCGGAAGGAACTCGTCTTCGGTTTTCCTGCTGTTGACCTTTGCTGGTTGATGTTCTGTTGGGTGCGCGTGGAGATAAGGTAGCATGTGCATGCACCTACATACCTCCTGTAGGTGAAAATCTGCTAGACACACCAGGAGTAGCGGGCGGGCGCCAACCCATGTATGTTTTGGAGGGCCAGGCAGCTAGCCAGGGCATATAATACAGGTAGTTTAGAGGTTTGTAGGGTTAGAGACTTTTGTTCTGTTTGTTACTTTAGCACCGTCCATTGTTCCCTGCCACAGTGGTTTGTTTCTGTGGTATTGAACATAGTATGAATAAACTATTAAGATGTTTACTATATTAACGTGCCTTCTCGTGGTTACTCACAGGACCAGCAGCACCCACGTCATTACCATCTTTGTTCCCCCCCCCTGACCCTAGACCAGGGGGTGGTTTGTAACAACAAACATTTCTGATCATGGTATAACCAAGTTCATAACATGTTATAAAAAAAGATTTGTGACTACACTGCATGAGGCAATGCTTATTGTAGTAGTTTCCCTTGGTAAATTATCTAAGTTTTGAGGCTTCTGGCTATGGTATTAAATGTGTGCTTCAGATAAGCAATGATTTGCATAGCCATAAAATTTGCTCATGACATTTTATATTTGACTGTACTTTTGTGAAAGACTCGCCATTGCCTCATGAATTCATCATACTTACCTGGCAGGGGAGATACCATGATCACAAAAGTGGTTCACCAAGGATGAGGCCCAACCATTGCACTGAAGATGTACTGACCCCTGCGAATTCCCCTAATGTGGGTATCTGTACTGCATAATTTCTGGTTGGGGGACTGCATTCGTACTCTCCACTGATTTATTTAATTTTTATTTTTTTTCTAGTGGGCATTTTTTTTTTCCAGTGGGCATTGGTGGCTTGATGGTTAGGGAAGCGCACTTGTAATTGAAAGATTGCAGGTTTGAATCCCTGACCAGCAAGGCACCACTGAGGTACCCTGCCCCCTGCTATGTCACATTCTCACATATGGGTTAAATGCAGAGGGCACATTTTGTTGCTGTGCACTGTGTGCTGTGGTGTGTCAACAATGACCATTGATCACTAAATTCTAAATTTTGTCTTCATTGGGGCAAAGCGTAGAGTGGACAGACTGGTGCCAAACACAGTCCTCTCTCCCACCACGGTCTGCCACTGAGGGAAACATGGGAACATAATAGATAGATCCCCATTATCCAATTAAATATTAATGCAGGAGTATTTACATTGCCTTGTGAATATTCTGAAAAATGTTTTTGGAAAAAAAAAGTGTCAACATCAGTCTAAAAAAGCATCTATCCATCTTCCAACCACTGAAAAAAGCAATTTTTGTGTGTGTTTATGGCATGCCTCTGCTTTCAGTAGTTCTACTAGGGGGTGGAGTTGTTGCAGATCAATAAAAAGCTGTGTGACTCTACACTCCTACTGCACTGCAAGAAATGGCTTTTTAACCCAGATGTCATCAGAAATTATATGAAAGGCACCAGGAGTACTTGAATAGTGCTGGGAACATGTAGATAGAAATCAAATGTAAGACATGCACAGTTAATTGTTTATCAGATATCCAGGGTTTTCGGTATGCCACCTTAAAAAAGGTGCAATATGTATTAATCTTTATAATACTGCTTAATGATTATAGCGTAGCATCTGCAGTGGCAACTATTTTAGACCGCCAAAACACAGTACCCCCCAGGGGGCAACGGTGCACACTAATTGGGTGTCAACATCTATGACAATTTTATCCCATCACTGCACATACCTGACAGAAATATCAGTCTGTCATGCATAGCCTTTCAGTTTGTGACTGTGAATAATAATCTGACCCGCAAGTGATGCTCACCTGTTCTAATAAAAAAAGTTCTCTTGATTTCATGCAGGCAGGGAATTTGAAAATGGCTTTTAATTAATGGGATGAACATATCAGCATTAAGGAATTAGGCAGGGAAATAAGTTAATAACCAATGTACAACAAAGAGTAGAACACATTTATGATAAAGGACATATATATAATGATAATCACCAGCACCATACATCAAGAATGTTCCTGTTCTCAGAGCCTTCTGTTCTGTGATGTAGGATTGATGTCAGCATCAGCACCAGCTTCAACACCATTAGTAATTAGTTAATTTCTTTATTACATGATCAAAATGCAACAGAGACTCATCAGAAAGAAGCTCTGGCACTACAAGATAACGATCTAAGCTGTATAATTGTGAAAGGTAGAGAGACATAAATTGCATAATGACATAATTGTCCTATTTTCCTGTTAAACCTGAGTAAAATCCTCAAAGTCAACATGTTCTTGCAACAAATGTCATACTACACAATTCAAATTTGATTGCCAGTGGGAACAATAGAAAGCATGCCTGTGTTGTAAATAAGGTCAGCATTTTTTCATTCTTATTAATGACCAAATTTGCTCATTCATTTATATTTCAGTCATTCTTTGGGATATCACGGTATCCACCCAATGTGTCTTTGCAATCCCTAAGGATCTGAAACGCCACAAGTCTTTGATTTCAGAGATGGGAAAGGAACTTGGCAGAAAAATAGAATACATTTCTCTTTAATTATGCCAATTCCTTACCTTAGGTATTAAAAGGTAAAATAACTTTCCATTACCCAAAACAGGCAATTAGTGACAACATTATTTAGAAGCTGTGTATAGATGTGTGAAGAACTAGCCAACAGCCCAATAACAGAATCTCATCGAGCAGCTGAAGGCCAAAATTAAAGTTCAAAGTAAAATTGATTAAATCTGACCCAAACTTGATTTTGATTTGTATTATTTCTTCAGCTATCATCTCATGATTATGGTTGTTCTGATTAACTCCTAAACTCATTTAGCTAAGTTTGTTCAAATTCCCTAGATGTGGAAAAACAGAGCAGACCCAAAGAAGCCCAGGATAGTGGATTCCTGGGAGTCTAGCATCCTGGACGGCTTCGGTGGATCCACTACCCACCCAGTGGGAGTCAGCATCTCGTAGTGCTCCCCACATGGCGTTTAAATGCCTCTCCATTTTGCAGCAACAATTTGACCACTCATATACTCTGACGGCCTTAAATTTTTTAAAATGGAGGGAAGAAGGCTGTCAGTTCATTCAGTGTCTTGTTCAGTCGTGGACAGTTTGCGTTTCAAAGTTTTATTTGTGATATAAACATACACAGTTATGCTGAATACAAATTACAGTAATAATCATAAATTAGATCATTTTCCCCATTGGTTTGTCAGCAAGCGACGAGGAAGGGATCTGCATGAGGCTGCAGAACACTGACTAGCTAGCATCTCAGCACCAGTTCTCTCAATGACTTATTCCCTAGACCTATACTGAAGCCTTCTCCCAGTTCATTCAAATCACAGACAAATTAACACCACTTTAAGTGGAAAGCCCACCCACTGGACAGGTGTAAATATAATTTCAAGGAAGCTCACTGTGTTGTAAATAACCATATATTTGTAGACACTGCTAGGTCCATGACTCAAAGCAGGATATGCATTTTTATACCTAGAAAAATCATCCCTAGAAAATATCCATGTCATTTTTTTCTAGTTCTAATATGTTTCAACACCCATACAAGAGTAGCTTGAAATAAAATCAATTAGCAGTATTACACTTCTCTGCAGCTAATTCAAAAATCCATCTGTGAAATTGAAATTGCTACACATCCTCCATTCCATTTACTATGTAAAGCTTCATTAAAAACGTTTTCCCCCACTTCTCTTAATATAATACACAAAATGACTGCCAGCAACCGTGCATTAATTTCATTGTCTTTCTGAAAGCCATAAAGTGTTTCAAATGTTCCTCCATACAATGTTCATATAAAACTTCTGCTAAGAATAAAATGGGTTCATCTCTTGCGGCTTATGTGTATACCAAATTATCTTCACTTTGGCAAGTTTGTGGTTTCACGTGTGACCACTGCCTTCTCCTGTGTCACAGGCAGAACTCTTTCACAATAACCTAACTGCCTAGGGCAGTTTTAACCAATTTACATTCATAATTCCAATCAAAGAAGAAATCAATACAATCGTGTGCCACATAATGACATTTTGGCCAATGGTGAATCACATATACATTGATGGTCCCCTAAGATTATAATGGTAATAAACAGCTAGTTATTGGTGTATGTATTTACTGTACTGTACTTTTTTTTTTCTAAAAAGTTTACTGTAAAACTGTATGCTGTTACATGTAATGTGTTAGTACAGTCCAACGAGTTAGTTGTTTATCAGATAAACAATGAGTTACTACAGTTAGTACAGACAAAATAGCCTAATGATACATTTCTCAGAAGGTATCCCTGTCTTTACTCAACACATTACCATAGACAAGTACCTATAATCACAAACTTCTGTTAATTAAATAGACATAACAGTCACTATTAACACTCTAAGCCAGGGGTGGGGAACTTGATCCATGGAGGGCCGATGTGGGTTTTTGCATTGACCTTGCCATCAGCCTATAACAAAACAGTGGTTCTCAACTCCAGTTCTGGGGATCCACTGTTATTGGCTGATTGAGAGGTCATCCCAACAACCCGCACCGGCTCTCCATGGATCAGGTTCCCCACCCCTGCTCTAAGTGCAGAGATTAAGAAGTGGGTGACACGAAATTTTGGGCCACCCTTAATGCATGGCCAGCATCCAAATGACACCGTTTAATGTGACATTGACATCAACAGAACTCTTGCTTCCTTTCAAGCTCCTCCTCTCAGAGATGCAAACATTCATCTGTGTCAGAGCTCTGCACAGCATGCATGGTAAGTGACCTAGGAAGTGAGGCATTAAAAAGGTGGATCCACACCATAAATTTCCAAAAGCATCACCAATGTTTTTGAAGCATTTATTGAACAACCATAGATACCTCAATAGTCTGCATCTATATACTAAACAACAGCAGGAAATGAAGACCTCTTCTTTTCCCTACATCCTTTTAGGTGGCTGTCATAAATTCCAGTTCCTCATGAAAAATGAAACATCAAACCAATGAATCCATTATCAACTTTCTTTTCCAAGTGTTTGTCATTCGCAGCCCTAATCCCACATAATGACAATTGATTAATGACCCATTTTAACTTACTAGTGATGGTGACACATGTACGAAGAAGTAGAAAACATTTTCATTTTTCATCCCAGCACCAAATACGCAGAATTCTAATGTGATTCAATAGTTCATTCCCAGAAGATGGGTTATATCTTGGTAGTGATGGGGAGCATTTTTTCATTAGTAACTCTGATAAATTATCTCTTCAGCTGCTATTTATTTCTCTTTTTTTATCCTCTTGCCTTTACTTAATGAAAAAAAATTCTTAATAGTTTTTGTCTATTGTCTTTATCATGTACCAAATCCCTTCAGCGGTGGGTATCGTGCATAAATTTAAAGAAAACAGGTTATGATTCTGAATGCTATCAGCCTTTAGTTTTCACCAGCATACAAAGATATGAGGAAAAAAAGTGCAAGGCGTTTGAGTTTAGGAACTATGAAAGAAGAAAAATGACCGGGAAAATCCACCTGGAAACATGTGATGCATTCGTTGTTGGTCAGTTGAAGTACATCAAGTGGAGGACGTCTCTATGTCCAGTTATTGTAGGAGAGCTAGTACATGCACTGCAGCTTAGGATCGTGAGGACACACTACTGCCTTTGAAACTATTTATTCTCATTTCATTTGAAATAGTTGTTTTTTTTAATCAACCAGTTGTTTAGCCTAATTGATTTGCGTGTTAGTGAATTTTTTTCCCTGCTAGATATTCCACAGGCAACTATACGTAGTATTATTGCAAAGTGGACGTGTTAAGGAGCAACAGAAACGCAG